TTCTAAAATAATGTTTTAAGTAGCTACAGGAGGTATAGATTTGAGTCTAATGTTATATTAATCTTTTCATTTCTCTGCTACCTCCTGTATTTTCTATTGTAATAATGTAATTTAAGGCCTTCCATAATGAACAGTTCGCTTTATTCTCTGGATTTTTTATATAAACAATTTTCAAGATATGATTTGGTTTAACACAATTTGTTATAAAAATTCTGTTAGCAAATTAAACTGTAAAACCTTCCAAGGTCTCAAAAGACAGTGATTGTGTGATAGTTTGGTATGAATGAAAAGGTGTCATATTGTATGCACAGAGCCCTATTCATCAGTGGAAACTTCGTATACAGTAATTGAATTTTATTAACATGAATCTTGAGTGTTTAGACATTGCCTACATGTTAATATATTTTCTCACATATTTAACCCAGATATTCATAAATTCACTTGTTTGATCACTGGTTTTCAGTTATTTATGAAGCCATGGAGAATAAACTTGAAAGTGAGGTCTTTGGGAAATTATATGTGACAGAGGTGGTGGGAAGAAAAAAGCTGAGCCTATTCCCTTTGAGAAACTTCAGCATTCAGTTAATATCTTTCCAGGCACACCAAATGGCTATTGTTTTCATACAACTATTTTCAAATGTACTTAAGAAAAGTTGTCATTCCAAGTAATACACTTAGATTGATAAGGACTGGTGAGGGAGTGCAAATAAGGGAAATAAGGAATGTTAGTTCTAAATCTTGTAAAAATCGTTGAAAATGTTAATTTTTAATTAATGTTGTAATTGAGACTCTAAATATCACTTGTAATTCCTATTGGCTGAAAGTGTTTATTGTAAAGAATGAAGTGCAATGATGATATAATTCACTTGGACATATTGGATTGGCTTCAGTTTCTTAATATTTCCTCTAATGTCTCAAACATTGACATGCTCTAGTTGCCATTTTTTAAATTGTCATGAACCAAATATTTCTTCTGTATGGTTAATCCATCTATTGTAATGGGTGCTTTTTAAATCATCTTTTTCTTGGTGCTTCGTATTGTAGTCATTAGAAAACAAAATGCAAACGCATTTTGGGGGATAAGAGCGACTTAACATTTTCTTACTGCTGAATGAAACTAGCCTGAAATAATACCACCAGAAACTGAGTGGAAATGGGCCCTTGCTAAGATGCCATTCTCATGAACTAAGTTTGATGTTTAAGATGAAAAGTTCATCTTGAAGGAATAACGTATAATATAATATGAAATAAAGGTATAGTAATCTTATAAAGGAGTCCTGGTATGGCGCTGTGGGGTAAAGCACCAGACTGCAAAGCCATTTGAACTACAAGGTCAGCAGTTTAAGCTCACCGGCTGCTCCTCAGAAACCCTATATAGGGTTGCTATGGGCTGAAATCGACTCAATGGCACTTAACAACAACAACAATAACCTTATAAAGATGAGCATTATAATTAATAACATTGTGAAGGGGGTGAATTTATTAAATGAATGACTTATAAAGTGTTCGTGCTCAAGCAAAATGATTCACTAGGTTTCTACATAATCATGTTTTTTTGTTTTTTTAATTGAAGTCCATCCTTACAGTTTAAAAAAAAAAAAAAGAATGTCATAGTAGCCAAATTAAATACGACATGGAAAATGCTTCAGCCAATATTTGGCATATATGGTTTTATTTAAATGCTATTTATTATTACTTTTGCTGTTGTTATTAATGAGTTGTACAAGATGAAAGTTACTTTCAATGTGTTTATGCATGTAAGGCTTTTTTCTTCACTGAGGTCAAAATACTTTTGCTTACAAATACAAATGTCTTAATTATGGATGAGGCCATTTCTCATACTCACCAAACAAGTACGGCTGCTTTTATCTTTAGCTCAGTGGAAATGTCACCCTGTGAGCAATCACATATTGTGTCACTTTGACTTGGTCCAGAACCTGCTTTGATTGGTTATTTGCCAGATTTATAAAGGCTGTAATATATATGTTACCTTCTAGTTCCCACCTATTTATCTGGATCACTTACCACATTAACCATTTGCCATCATGCTCATTGCAGAGTCAAATGATGGCAAATCTGACAGCTGGATACACAGGACAAGTAAGTTTTATTGGGTGAATATGAAGGAAGGGATGGAAAGAAAAAAAAAATACTGGGAAGTTTAAAAACACTGACTTCTTATGGTTGCTTTCGTTGCTAAGTGCTATGTGCTGTAATGTTGGTTCTAACTCATAGCAACTCTGTACAGAGTTTCTGAGGAGCTGCTCGTGGGTTTGCACCACCAATCTTATGGGTCAAACCAACTTTGTGGTCCACTGCTTTCTCCTATAGCACTACAGCAAGACTCCTGACTTCTTACAGTAGAAGACTATTCAAGTGAGTGAAGTGGGGAAAGCACTTCTGTAGAGATGTGGAAAGTTTGTAGGAATATGTAGTTTTATATCTCTCTGTAAGAGAAGGTATATGCTAGTCCATGTGAAAATACATAAGGTGACATTTATTATATGTATTTAACAACAACAACAACATATCTTAACAAAGATGATTCGAAAAGTAATTTTTTGTTATTAAAAAAGGAATTTTTATTGAGGGCAAAAAGATGCAAACAATACAAAAACCAAAAGCTTATCTGGCATTGAATTGACTTTTCTCTCTCTACTTGTCGAATAGAAATTAGATTTTACTTGTATACATTCTCAAGGGTCCCGATCTGCTCATGAAATCCTTATGCAGAGACAAACCGTGGGGTCAATTTCTTAAGCAGCTTGGGATAACTCTACCAGGGTGGGAATGATTACTCATTTCTGCCTACTTCTACTCCTTTCCCTTCTGTTTCATGTGTATTACAAAAGAGTCGTTGCATGTGATGGTGAGTCCATCAATGAGCAAAAGAAAGGTCTGGAAGCCCATTTTGCCATCTTGGCACTGGTCCAGGTCTTGCCTTATTTTGTCCCTTGCCAGAGGGTCCTTTTGGTTTTCCAAAAATCCAAGGAGCTCCTTTTCCATAAGCACTCTCAGGTTCTCCTTTGTTAAGTAGCATTTATCCCCAGCAAGTTTGGGAAACATGAACATCATTGTTTCCATGGTATGTTCCATTTGAGATGGCATTTTGGTGAGGTCTGTGGGAGTCTTGGCCAAGAGGTATGGAGCAGACCCTCATCAAGTGGGGACACAGGGCCAGTGAGGCAAGCGCCTCAGCCAGGCACCTTAGTAGATGGGCACAGAGAGGAGAGCTCTAAAAGTACTTTTATAGAAAAAGAAATTATTTATCACAGTTTGCCTTTTTTTTTTTTTTTTGCCAGAAGAGAAAGCAAATGCCTAACTTATCATCAAATAGCTCTTCCTAACTTAAACTGCACAGCACTTGGATTTGCACAATGAGTTTATGTCTGTCTAAAGTAAATAACTCACTCAATGCCACTGAATCAGTTCTGACTCATAGCAACTCTGCATAGTTTTGAGGATACAAATGTTATGGGAACAGAAAACCTCATCTTTCTCCCACTAAGTAGCTCGTGAGTTTGACTTTATAGTTAGCAGTCCAGTACTTATCCTACAGTACCACCAACACTCCTGTCAAACAAAGATATATAAAGAAAACACACAACTAGAATACAAACTATATGTAATGGGAATGAGTAATGAACAAGAAATGTAAAATCTAGTGGTGGTTGTTGAAAAGGTTAAATAACTTGATGTGTAAAAGTAAGCAAAGGAGACTATATGAATAAATAAAAAAATGAAATACAAAGTATAAATAATTACATGAAGCAAATATTAAGACAAAAATATTGTGAAAATGATTCAACACTTTAACATTTATTCATTTAAGAAACTCACAACCTTCACAATGTTATTAATTATAATGCTGTTCTTCATAAGGTGGTTACTTATTTGATTATGAGTATGATTGGCAGCCTTTTTTATTTTTCAGTTTAGTATTTACTGAACTAATAAAGCAGGAGTGCCTGGCATCCTGGTGTGGCACCATAGGATAAGCACTAAACTGAAAGTTTGCTTTGAACTGCAAGGTCTGCATTTGTCTTTTTACAACAACTAAGATGGTTAAGATGAAGTCCTGGCATGGCATTGTGGGCTAATGCAGTGGACTGCAAAGTCATTTGAACTACAAGGTCAACAGTTCAAGCTCACCAGCTACTGCTCAGAAACCCTATACAGGGCTGCTATGGGTCAGAACTGACTCGATGGCACTTAACAATATCAATAGGATGGTTAGAGAGTCCTGATGTAGCTTTATGGGTTAATGTGCTGAACTGCAAAGTTATTTGAACCACAAGGTCAGCAGTTCAAGCTTACCAGCTGCTCCTTGGAAACCCTATACATGGTCACCTGGGACAGAATTGACTTGATGGCACTTAACAACAACAACCAGATGAGTAAGGGAGTGGGGTGGCTCTGTAGGATAAGCAATGGAATGCAACCTGCAAGATCAGCAGTTTGAATACAGGAGCCACTCCACAGGAGAAAGGTGACACTTTCTGCTGACCAAAAGATTGACAGTATCGGAAAACCCTATACAGGTTTGCTATGTGTTGGAACTGACTCATCTGCACTTAACGACAACAAGATGGCTAAGATCAAAAAGGTAAACAAAATCTGAAAATGACAAACATTATGAGGATGTGATCAAATTGGTGGGAACACAAAATGCAAGTCATTGTGAAAAACAGTGTAATAGTTCCTCAAAAAATCTTTAACAAAACTTTCATAATGACAAAGCAAATACACTCCTAGCAAGCAACATACCCAAAAAACTTCAAAACAGAGGCTCAATTACAGATTTGTATACCTATGGTTATTGCAACACTGTTCACAATAGCTAAAAGATGGAAGCAACTTAAATGCCCATCAACAGATAAATGGATAAATAAAATGTGGAACTACATGCAGTGAACTGCTACTCAACCTGGAGGAGAATATGGATAAAGCTGGAAGATATGATGTCGAGTAAAATTAGTAAATAACAAAAGGACAACTATTCTATAACCTCATTTACATACTATATCTATCTCTATCTGTATCTATATCCATATTTGTGCCCATTCCAAAGAGAGGTGACCCAACGGAATGCAGAAATCATCGGACAATCTCTTTGATATCCCAAGCCAACATTCATCTGACTTCAGCAGTGACATCCTTGTCTGAATTTGGCTTGAACCTCTAGGAGTTCCCTGTCAGTGCACTGTTGTACCTGTTTTTTAATTACCTTTAGCTAAGTTTTACCTGCTATTAATATTTATTATATTGTCCAATGATTTCCACATTCCTTTGGATAACCTCTCTTTGGAATGGTAACAATGGATTGGATCTTTTCCAATCAGTTGACCTGGTAGCTGTCTTCCATATTTCTTGGTATAGATGAGTGAGTGCCTCCAGTGCTGCAACTGTTTGTTAAAAGAATTCAGTTTGCATTCCATCCATTCATGGACCCTTGTTGTTTGTCAGTGCCTTCAGTGCACATTGGACTTTTTACTTCAGTACCATTGGCTTCTTGAAATGGTGGAACATCAACTATTTCTTATTGGTAAGTGACTTTGTAATCCTTCCATTTTCTTTTGATGCTTTATGCATCATCAATGTTTTGCCCAATGAATACTTCAGTATTTTATGTTGAGGCTTGAATTTCTTCCTCACCTCTTTCAGCTTGAGCAATGCTGACAGTGTTCTTTCCTTTAGGTTTTCTAACTCCAGATCTTTGCACATTTCATTATAATATGTGACTTTGTCTTCTCAAGCTTCCTTTTGAAATTCTCTGTTCAACTCTTTTGCCTCCTCATTTCTTTCATTTGCTCTACCATCTCTCTTAATGACTTTTGGTTTCTTCTTGTATGATGTTGTTGATGTCATTAGTGTCTATCAAGTCTGGTCTTGAGATGGTCTCTAAATTCAGGCGGTATATATTCAAGGTCATATCATAACCTTTGTGGACTGGTTTTAATTTTCTCCAGCTTCAGCCTAAGCTTGCATATGAGTAATTGATGGTCTGTTCCACAGTCTGCCCCTGGCCTTGTTTTGGCTAATAATATGGAGATTTTACACCATATCTTTTCACTGATATAGTCAATTTGATTTCTGTGTATTCCATCTGCTGAAGTTCATTTATGCCATCATATTTTATGTTTTCAAAAAAGGCATTTGCAATCAAGAAATAATTGGTTTTGAAAAATTCTTTCATGCAATCTTGAGCATCATTTCTATTACCAAGGTCTATTTTCCAAGTACTGATCCTTTTTCTTTGTTTCTAACCTTGCATTCCAGTCACCAGTAATTGTATGTATGGAGTCCTGCTGTGGCACTATAGGATAAGCACTGGACCTTAAGGTCTGTTTTAACAGCCATGAGTTTGAAACTAATTCGCAGGCACTTATCAATAATTTATATCTATATATATGTATATGTATATATGTTGTTGTTGTTGTAAAGTGCCATCGAGTCAGTTCCGACCCATAGTGACCCTGAACAGGGTTTCCAAGGCTGTAAATCTTTACAGGAG